GGATTGATAGCTAAAGGACAACTACCGGCATATGGCTCAATGAAGATATAGGTCTGGGCTTCATTGAGGATAAAGGGGTGGTAGAATTTGACATAATGGTATAATTCATTTATCATATTTTGACTATGTATTATAATTTTAAGATTTAATTTAGAGGAAAAAGTGAGCAAATATTTCGAAGTTAAGCTATTTAATAGATTATGTAAGGAAAAATTAGATTAGAGGCGATAACCTTATACATTAAGACGAAGTGGACATATTATATATTTTATTGGTATATTGGAAAGTTGAGAATAAATGTAAGAAAAATGGTAAAATATTTCCAGAAGTTATAAAGGGTTATATAGATTATATTAGGTATAAGTAGATTAGATGCGATTACCTGAGACCTTAAGACAAAGATCAAGTGATAATAAAGAGACCTTAAAACAAAGTCGATATCTCGGCAAGTGTAAACTTAGTACTAAAAGATCGATACGCTACAAAAATTAGATGAAAAGAACTAATCAATTACAAGAGAACGTTGAAAACAAGCGACTAGATAGAACAAATGGTCAAGATGTTCATGCTGCAATCGTTAATCGCTTACCAATATTGCCAATTGTTTACCAACACTTTAGTGTAAGATAAGGAAATCGACAATCATAGGAACAAGAATTCGTGAAACAATCTTTCGCAGACAAATTATCGTCAATCGTTTACCGAGATAATGTGCTAATTATTAGTTACAAGAGACCGTTAGAAACAAGCAAAGACTAGGATAATTTATCAAAAGAATTTAAGACGGCTATAAGAAACAAAAGTTGAAAAAGAAACTAGAATTCATCGATATCGTTTACAAGCAATCGTAATCAATTACCAGTTATAGTCAATTACCGCGATAAAGTACAAGAGAACATTAGAAACAAGCAAATAGAAAAGACAAAGATGGTGAAGAAAGAATAGTATCAATCAATAATTGGTTTCTAAGAATCGTGGATCGTTGAAAGGCAGGCGTTAATCGGGATTATCAGTCGATTACAAAGGAGCTAATCGTTTACCAGAGGTTGACAAGCAAAAGAAGATAGAATTCAAGAATTTCAAGCTATAATCGGAGATAACCGATCGTTAGAAACTAAAAATACTAGACAAGGGACAGCCGTCTTCGAAAATAGAAGACATTAAAGATTAAGAAGAATCGATTTGGAGGAGATACAAGGTCAGTAAAGTCGAAATCGAAAGAAAGTTGGTCATACGCAGAATGGTGGGTCTAACATAAGTGGAAGGGTATTGTAATATTCAGGTATTATTATTCAAATTGTGAATTCAAACAAGGATAATGTTTTATTAAAATTATTTAAGTCTTAGACAGGAGATGAAAACGCTTGATAATTGTAGATTGGTTTAACAATTGGAGTTTTTCTCTTTTTATTTTTTAGTTATAAATTTCTTAATTTTTAATCTTTTCTATTTAATTTTTCTTTTAAATTTCATTTTTAACTTTAATTTTATTATGTTTTCACTGTATAATTATTATTTATTAATAATTATGCAATAAAGTTATGATCATATATATTTAATTATTTATTTATTTTTCTTTAAGAGACATTTCATTTTTTACAATGGGTTTTACGGAGGATTTTTCATATGTTTACATATTTCAATATCATATTGATCAAAATTAAAACGTTTAAGCATGTATTTTCCATATTCTGATCTAATATATCTTAAGAGCTGCCTATTGTTTCTGATGTAAATACTTATTAATGTTATCAATATAAATATTTAAAAATTATTTACAATTTAGAAATATAATATGGGCAAAAATAAAATTTTATTATTGCATTGCCAACATTTTTAAATCGGTGTCTGCCAAAGAGACGGCATTAAGTGTAAAGCACAGGTCTATGTATTAATAAATTAATTACACTGTGTGACAAATTTCGACTTGATTTTTTGGGAGAAAATAAAATAAACATGTTTTAAGACAGTTTTTTAGGCTTATTCTAAATCCGCAGTCAGTTTTTTTCTAGCACGTCAGGTTTTTTTATTTATTTTAAGTTAAAGTGGCCAAAAAGGTCATTTTTAGCACTTTATGAAGGTTTATAACTTTGGTTCTAATGATCCCTACAACTAAAAAAATATCTTAATTTTTGCAGCAAACATTCCTTATTATTATTATACATTTTTTTTATAAAATCCTTACTCAATTTTTAAACAACCTATATTTTTTAAATTTACCTTTATTTATAAAATCTTTTTTAATATAGCTTACATTTAATATATTTATTTATTGCGGCTTTCGTTGGTTAATGATGCTTACTACCAAGTGAATGTATGGAAATATTCTAAATACCAACCTAATTTGCTAAATACCGACCAAAATTTATTAAAATGTAATAAAACCCTTATTATTTAATATATTATAATGGAATCACGTGGTCGAGTCCGGCCTCCTATATATCATCCCCCCAAGGATGGAACCACTAAGTTAGAATAAGAAAAAAAACATGAACATTACCGGGATTCGAACCAGTGGCCATGGAATCATTAAGCGAAGCTCTTACCGACTAGGCCATAGAGGCTTTACAAAAATCAGGATTTTTCAAATATATATTATAAATATATTTGGTAGTGCCTATCCAAATGAAAAATAAACAAAATTCAAATTATATAGGTAGTATTAAGGTAGTAAGCATCATTAACCGCTTTCGTTCTCTTCGCTACACTGCACACGGTACGATTCCCAAACAATTTGTTTTAAATGAAATAGTTATATTTCTCATATTTAAATAAATATATTATGCTAAGCTAACCTATCTCATATTTTACTTTAGTCAGGATTGCGATCATTTTGAGATCGCAGCATATCTTAAATTCGTAAATGGAATAATTTATTTTTGACAATAAATATTTCATATTTTCATATGATTCATTTAACTGGTTGGAATAGGCGATGAGAATTGATGGCTTAGAATTTCCGTTATGAAGCAAAACTGCTTTCAAGCTGTTTTTGCTTGAATCGATGAACAATCGCCATTCATCGGGCACTAATTCAATATTAAGTTGTAAAAAAAAAGTTGTCCTAGATTGTTGGAATAGTATAAAAAATTTTCGTGAGAGAATAAATTTTTAAACGATGCTCCACGTAATCGGTATGAAGTTTGAACTCCATTTTTTTAAATTTTAAAATCATTAAGCCTTGAGGCTAAAAATTCGGACTTTCTTTTTGAAAGTTGTAAATTTCTGGTTATGTCATTTAGTTGCTCTTGTGACATAAATGGCGAGAAAAAAAATAAATTAGCTGCCGTTATAACGGCAATTTTTCCTAAATCGTTTAAATTTTATTTTATTTAAATGGAATAAATTTCTTATATTACCCACCTAAATTTAGAAATCGTGTCCTAAATATCAAAAACTCAAATTCACAAACTTTCGAATCTTTAACGAAATTAAATAAATAAGCTAATTTAAAATACAAAAAAACGTAATTTTTCCAGCTGCGAACTATTAAAAAAAGGAACTGTTGTATGTATATTATATATTACCGGATAAACCGACGAAATTTCAGGATAACGAATTCTTATTTTTTTGTTAAACCCAAATGTACTAATCGAACAAAAATAACAATCCCACGAATGATTTCTTGCTACGTGCCAAAATGCAGGTTTCGAATAAGGCAAATATGACCGTTTTCCATTTACCCATGAATTAAAAGAATTATAACATGTTTTACATATGTTATAAGGGGCAAATGGTCTATCCAAATCGCAGAGTGGATTATTGTAATAAATTTCATAAATCCTTTGAATGATTGGAGAAATTGGATATTTTTGTGCGGGCATTATATAGCCCGCACAGATGTAACAAAATTTAGAGACACATTTTAAACAAGGGGACCTCGGCATTAATTTTTTGAAGAATATTATATAAGGAGGGAATTTGAATAATATTTAAAATCCAATTTTAAAAAAAAATTAATGAAAGAAATTAAATGTTTATGAAAAATTAAGCGCGAAAAAAAATAATTCTTCTCCTTTCTTCCTACTCGTTATTTGGCATTATTATTTATTGCCCATACTACGGGTTCAAGGTACTCCATTGGAAAATAATATATTTTGATATAAATTGATTCTAAAAACAAATATTCTTAAATACATCTAAAAAAGATAAATATTAATAAAAAATATGAAAAAATTACTAATTATTGCATTTTAAATGAATTTTGCTTCAAAAATGCTCAATTTAAAAAGAGTACAAATTAAAAAAGTGGGTACAGATATCTGATTTTGGTATAAATTGATCATAAATGCATAATATATTACCAAATACAACTAAAAAAGAGAAATATTACCTTTTTGCTTTAAAAATGCTTTATGCAGAGAAAATTCAATAAAAGTGTACAAATTAAAAAGTTCGAAAATATCTGTACTAACTTTTTTAATTTATAGATTTTGGTTGAATTTTCAGGGCATAGAGTACTTTTGAAACAAAATTAGAATTAATATATAATCTTGAGCATATTTGAAGCAAAATTATATAAAATTTATCTTCTAAAGTTAACAATTTTGATAGTAATTTAAATTGATAACTTAAGACCCCCAAACGAAATTCTTTACCATTTTTCTCAAAAACCAATCGATAAAAAATTATAAAAATTAGTAAATTTATAAAGAAATATAAGTTTAAAACTATCACCAATTTTCAGGGATTTTTATTCGATACTATTTAAAATATATCCGTATAAAGACCTAAATTTTACCATTTTTGAGATTTCGAAAAGTTGTCTTTATACGGTAATATTTTTAAAACTTGACGTGTAGGGAAAATTTGGAAAACGGATTCGAACTCAGCGTCAAATTCTGAACCAAAACTTGTTTTTATTTTCTTCAACCATTTTTCTTGTCACACAGTGTTATATATGGTATAAAAGCTTAATATTCGCTATAGTTATTTTGTCCTATTAGTGGTTAACTACAAATTTTAACTAAATCATAAAGATTAAATGAAAAACTAATAACTTGGGCCACTCCAGGTATATCCATGACGTAGTCATCTAGGTTTCTCAATATTTCTTGAAATGCACTTTTAAAATGGTCTCTAGTGAGCATAAAATTGTTGGAACCATCCAGAATGTTAGAATTGCTTTCAGTATAAATGCTTTTCTTATGATTCCCATGCTGGGTATAATGAGAAAATTCGGATAAAAGTATTGAGGTTAATTCTCTATCACTATCTTTAAGATCCAGAGCTATCCTGATAGCAAGACAAGCTACTTGGGGTCTAAGATCCAAAGGGATATTAAGCTCAGTCAATGATTTCTTTTAATAAATCGATGAACATACTAATAATTGACCATAATTTCACAAATGAGTTTAGTTTAAATATCGCTTAATGTAGCAATAAAAATATTAGTTATATTAATTAATAAGTTATAATAAAAAAAAAAGCATTAATAATGCCTTGTGTTGTCGAAAACTTCGATTCAAGATAATAGCCAAAAAATATTTTAATTCAAGATTTTTAGACTTAGACCTCTTTTGATCAAATTTCGAGGCTTAGGTAATATTTAATGGCTAAAATCTTAATTAAGCCGTTTTTTAGAAACCTGCAAAATCAAAGTTTTTGATAAATTAGTCGTGCTATTACATCGACAAAATGAGCATATTTTCATAGACATCTTTTAAATCAAATATTTTGCATAATTGTTAGTATCTAATGAGTAGTTAAGATCAAATTTTTATTGCTCTAGCTCTATTAATTCAATCAAATTAGGTCAGGCAGGGGAGTTTGATACTTTTTACATTCATCGTGAATTTATTTAAAATCTATTCTTTGATTTCTTGTAGGAATATGAACCGTAAAAAATATAGAGTTGATAGGTAAAAATAATGGTTCTTCCGCTCGGCTGTAAAAAATAAATAATATCAATTCCGTTTGAATTAAAACTGTTTCAAACTTTTGCCATGCAATTGGAGTAGAATTATAATAAAAATATACTTCTTTTTAAAATAAATCTATAACTAAATAAACAATTAATGTTTATTTTAATTTTTTGAACATGAGCCCTGCAAAGTTTAACATAATGCGGCAAACATTTCTAAAAAAATCGAAGGGGTTTTCAAAAAAAAAGGAACTCGTTCACGTTCGTTCAAAATTTTATGATAAATTTTTTTTTAAATTTAATTTAATTAAATAAATGTCATATATTTTAACACAATATATTAGAAATTTTGATAATATAATTATAAATATAATATAATATAATGAATAAAAAAATTTTCTTATAAAATTTTAATAAAAATTGTTTTTCAAAATTTTCACTGATAGACAGAACACTTGGCAGTTAATACGACATCAGGTATACTAAAAACGCGATCTACAGGGACAGATGAGGGGATTACAGTATTATACTTAATAAACAACTTAACGTGGGGAATTTATTAAAAACATTTATTGATTTGTCCTTGTTTCAAAAATGAGATAAGTTATCCTCCTCCAATCCATCCTTTACTTACTCGTCAAAAAAGGTCGAAATTAACAGTTCTTGCATTATAATTTCTAGGGTTTTCTATACATTTTTTCATCAAAAACGCTAATTTTTATAAATTCGTTCTCAAGAAGTTTTATCTATGGCCATTGAAGCTTGAATATTGGATGTATAATTGCAGAAAGAACATATTGATCCTCAATATATATGTTCAAATCTTTAAAAAAAATAAAATATATGCAATTAATTTGGTAGTAATAGGTTTAATATTTTTATTAATCCCATTTAATAATGTGTCTATCAATAGTTGACCATAATTTAGGCCACTAATTTATTTTAATTTTAAAATAACTATCGTTATTGTTAGGTTTAAATAACCTAACTTGAAGATTTTGAAACTGATATAATACATTTTGGGCACATTTTACATTCGGTAAGTATTGAATTATTTCCTTCAATATAGGATGTTACTGTAAAATATTTATCATATTTGGGCAATGGTAATGTTAATTCATCTGATTTTGAATTTTCAGAATCAGATAATGATGATGAAATAATAATTCCATGCTTATGCAAATCTATTAAATTAAAATATAAACAGTAATTTTCAAATTAATTAACTATAATAATGGTGTGTTAAAAAAAATCGAAATGTGAAATGGAATAACAGTTGATTATAAAATATAAGACATTTTTTTTGAAAAATTTGGATTAATATTAAATTTTTCAAATAAATAAAATAAAAGGTGTTTTTAAAATTGAACGAACGTTAAATTTGAACGCATTCGTCATAAAAAAGGAACGCGTTCACGTTCAAAGTTCGTCAAAAATAAAAGGAATGCCGTTCACCATTTTTTTCAAAAAAACGTACTTCGTTCACGAACGCGTTAGTTTACAACACTAGTTTAACACATCCATAAAATAAAGGCCTGGGGTGACCCGAAAAATGTAAATATTCCTTCCTTACTCTTCTCAATTTTTTTACCGGATGTATAAATGAATATAAAAAGTGGCTTTTGGTCTAGTGATAAAAAAATCATAACAATGTTTTATAAATTTTAATGTCGTGTAAAAAAAAGAATGTAAAGAACAATTATATACAATAACAAAAGGGATAACTAATGACAAAAAAACGTGGGGGAGACTTCAAAAGAAAAACTGTTTATATTCCTTCCTCTTTAAATACAACACTCCTCCCCGCTTAACACTCTGCTACCCGGGGAAGGGATCCAAAATGTCTTCGGGTTCCTCCTGGTCCCTGATCAGGTCTGTTCGGTCGGGGTGGCTATGTCTCGTCCTTGGGTCTGGGAGTTCTTTCCCTGCCCCTGCGAGTGTGTCGGCTGCGGTGGTCTCGAGGCATTCCGGAAAACCTTTGCATGAAATGGTTGGGTTCGGGAAATCTTCCAACTTAGCGGGATCTTCGACGGTATTGGAAGGGTCAGTGGTGGACGTCTAGATCCGTAGCTGGTGAATGAGGGAAGACATTTCTGACAGCATGGATTGTCTACGGGGGTCATGGTGTCGGGGTCTTCCTCAGCTTCTCTTTCCCCCTTACTTTCGGGATCCCGCCGAGGTCGGATATCTCTACGATAGTATTGTGGGTTTCGTTAATAGTTTTGATGTAATAAATGACGGATCCCTGAACATCTATTATGGTTTCTTTTTTCCAATGTGGGTTAAGAACCCTTGGGGGTGTTAGAACCCATACTAGACTACCTCTATTTAGGTTTGCGAGAATAGTGGGGGGGGGGTGTATGGGGTATTGGTTTTTCTAGGAGGAGGTTAACGGACGTCGGATATCGCATCTCTGGCATTTGTTTTGTGGCTGGATGTGGAATATTTCTATAAGCTATTAGGAAGCAGCTGGGTTTGAATTTCGGTTCGTGGAAATCCTCTTCTGGCTTTTAAACGTTCGTACGAATCGTTCTGCTAATAAAATTTTTGTGCGGAATACGAGGGGGGCGTGCAGATTTGTGTTATTCTATGTTGGTCACAATTGGTTAAATTCGTGGCTGACAAATTGAGGCCCGTTGTCGGTTATGAGGTTTCGTGGGATCCTAGGTGAGTAAACATGTCTTCAAATGCGGTAAGGAGGGCCTGGGACGTCGTGCTGTTCAGACGGGTGATTTCTGAACAATCGAGATAAGCATCTACCAGTATTAGACAATGTATTTTGTGTAGTGGTCCTGCGTGGTCAATATATACAATTTCTCCTACTGTAAGGGTAACGGGCCAGAAGTGGGATAGTATCTGTGGGGAGTTATCCTTGAATTGTTGACAATGATCGCAAGTTTCGCTGATATTTGTGATATAACTGTTAAATTCCACCGGGCATATTTTCTGGCGGTTTCTTTCATTCGTACAATTCCCGGGTGTCTACGATAAATTTCTAATAATATCGCGGGTCATAAGTTTCGGGGAATGATTAATCTGCTTCCTCGGACAATTAACTCACAGTTTATTGACAATTCATTCTTTATATTCCAATATTCTTGTATTCTGTGGCTGTTATCTTTGGGGGCCAGCCGTTTCGTATGTTTTATTTGATATATGATAATTCTGGGTCTTGCAGGGTGGATTCAATTTGGGTCTCGAGTAAATGGTAGGGTTTTATTTGGGTTTGTATAATTTGGTTTACATCGGTTTTTAATGTCGTGTAAAAAAAAATGTAAAGAACAATGATATATAACAACAAAAGGGATAACTAATGACAAAAAAACATGGGGGAGACTTCGAAAGAAAAACTTTAAATTTCTTTTTCTTTGAACACAACACTAAGAATATGGAAAGATTTGCCTTTTTATGTATAAATTTTTTTTTTCGGTAAAAACCTTGACTTTTATGTGAATAGTCATTTAATTCAGCTTTAAAATCAAAACAGAATATCTAAATAATTTAGAATTAAAATCCTTTATTTAACCAATCATCTTGCTTTGCCCATATGTACAACTATTGTTTTTTTTATATCCTATAAATATTTGAAGAATAGTCCAAACTATTATAAAACGGCTAGCTCAATATTGTAGCCAGAAAAATCGTAATAGATGTTCAAACCTATGTCGTCTATGAGCAAAATCTACTGGCTTGCATAATATTTTTCTAGTTGAAATATTGAGTTAACCATCTTAAAAGACTCAGATCGAAAGATAAATTTTTAATTATTTCTGAAGAGAGAGAATTAGGGATATTATAGAAAAACCTGTTTGGTTTGTCAAATTTTTTTTAATATAACTTTAAATAACTTTTTAAACCTATTTTTCTTATCTTGTATTTTCCTCGAAGAAAAAGAGAATATTTTTTGAAGAAGAAAATAAATACTGATTTATTTCGTATTTTCCTCTTTTTATATCTATTATTAAAAGTAAATATAAATTGATTAAAATTATAATTAATTAAAAATCATACGACTAAATAATTTTATAATTACTTTTTTTTTATTTAACTAATAAATAATATAAATTAAAGGAATGATTACGCAAGATAACCAAAAAGAATATTCATCACCAAAAATAAATGAGTGAATTCACAGTTTAACACAAAAAAACGACCCACATAAATCGCCCGCATTAATTGAAAACAAAATGTCGCACTTCAACTTGCAATCGGCCTCTTCCCATATTGCATCCATATTATGGTTATTTCCAAGATGACATTGGGATCACAATCGATAAATATAAGCAAAACATATCGCTGTTTAAAATAAGTTGTATCAAATGGGTATACGATTAAAATTAGAGAATTAAAAATATTCCAAAAGTCATATACATTGGCTATGAAATGGATTTACATGGAATGGAATACATGTAATTAAAACAAAATAGCTGAGATAAT